ACCGTGAAGCAGTTGTGTTCGCATCGGTTTGAAGGGTGGGGTATGGCGTGAATTTATAGGGTACAGAGGAATAACACCTGAGTCCTCAGGAATGGCAACGCATGGGGTTTTTATGGGCGAAACAGTATATTCTGTTATGTCCATAATACTGCTCATGTCTATAGGCGACGGTTACCACTTTCCATCAGGTGGACCATCAGCTTATTTGCCATTCAAAATTGCATAAAAAAATTTATCCATATTCAGATACGTCATACAATTGGCAAAATAAATAATATAATTTTAATAATATTTCTATTGGATCAATTACTATAAATTTGATTGATGAAAGAAATTATTAAATGATCTAGTTATTATAGTTAACTGTACTATTATTTTGAAACGGATGCAGAGTGTAATATCATTTACAGTAGCCGATAAAAGCGCAACTGAGACTAAATTACGTATCCAGCTAGTGTTGCAGTCAGTATTCTATCTTCAGGTAAATTAGTAATCAATCAAATCTTTTTTTATTTAATTTAGAGCAAACTAATTCGAACTGGTTCAACTTCGCACTGGTAGATAGAATTTTCAAAAATAATATTATACTCGTAGACATATATAACAAGAACGCAACTGTTAGATAGGTATGAATGAAAATATAGCTAATTTTCTTTTTTCTTTTTTTTTCCTTTGCTCTCCAACTAGTAAAAGTTTTTTTTTTAATGGATACTAATGGAATGGGGATGTTAGGTAAGAATGAAAATGCAGGTTAGTTAGCCTACCGTGATGAATGCATCTGAAATACAGCACGATAGTTTCCAGGAGGGCCACGTAGGAGTCGACGTGACCGCATTACTAATAACCCCTTCTCCCCAGGGGGGAAGCGATTGTTAGTAATGTGGACTACCAGTCCTATTGCTAACAGTATACCCTGTCAAGTTGACCTCCACGTGGTCCTTCCTGGAAACTATCGTGCTGTATTGCAGATGCACCGATAGCGCAAGCGGGATTGTCATGCCATATTCACCCATTATAAAAAAACCTTCACTAGTAGGGGGAAGGGTTTTTTTATAGATGATAATGAAATGATAGCCCCGCCTGCGCCAACGGTATACGCTGGCGGAGCACCAGTTAAGGGTAATAGATGAAGATAAAAATGTAGGTCAGTTAGCCCATCATGAAGAATTCAACGATAAATTTGTCACGATAGTATCCAGGGGGAACCACGTGGAGGTCGACCTGATAGGGTATATTGATAGCAATGGGGACTAATCTCCCCATTACTAACAAATTCTTCTCCCCACTGAGTGAAGATTAGATATTAGCTCACAGAATCTGTCCTTATCTCTTGCGAGAAGGAAAAATTCGGCTGCATTCTCAATGCCCGTTCAGGGAGGGGAAAGGGTAATGATGTCTAATAGCACCATTGCTAACAATATACCCTCTTAGATCGACCTCCACACGGTTCCTCCTGGAAACCATTATGGTTAATTCTTGTTGAATTCATCATAGTGGGCCAATTTAGCTGCATTTATTCTCAGCTGTCATCTTCCTCTGATGCCCAGCCGATATATATCTACCGATAACATGGTATATACATACCGATATCATTCCATTTTCACCCATAAAAAAAAATGCCCGTTCGCTCCCGGAGTCAAAACTTTTACTTACGACCGACCCTTCTCTTACCAGCAATTTTGTCTATTATAATCACGTGTAAAAAGTGATATCTGTTGCATCTGAGTAGACATCCAATAGTCTGTGTTCGTCATATCATCATATCGGCTTTTAACTGTCCACTGCTGAACATAAACCTCCCCCTTGGGGGGGTTTTGCAGTAGTTGCTACGATTGACAGGTGGATTGGCAACCGTATATAGGTTTTGGAGATGTTTTAAGAAAGCGCTCTTGCCCATACTTCACTCTCCCTTAGTCGTCTCTTACAACACCCACGGGAAAGAAAGGGGTGGCTATTCTATGTCTGGACCACACGGCATGTCTATGTTATTAGCTGATAAAATAATTTTTAAAATCTGTCGAGTAGTTTTTGAATTTATCTATTACAAACAAACAATAATTAATAATAAACAAATAATAAATTATTTATAATATTAGTATAGATATAAACAAAATTTCTAAAGACCGTTGACGTCAGGCAGCCGACCGGTCGTAAAACTATAAGCCAAATCTTTAATGTAGATAAAAAACATATTACGCCGACTTCAAATAAATTGGGATGAGGGTAGGAAGATGATGATTAGTATAGATATGATCAAACTAAAAGCCTACCTAGTGGAAACTCGTAACTGCGGAGGGAAAGGGATTGTTAGTGATGGTGTCTAACACCTCCATTGTTAGTAATGTATCCTATCAGGTCGACCTCCACGCGGTTCCCCTGGAAACTATTGTGGTTAATTCTCGTGGAATTCTTCACAATGGGCCAACTGACCTGCTCTCATTCTCACCTGTCACCTCTCACTGGTGCCCTGCTAGTGTATACTGATAGCGCAAGCAGGGTAACCATTCCATTTTCACCCATTAAAAAAAAAACTCGTAACAGCAGCATATTCACATATACACTACTATGTATGTCACAGAATGTAATGCGATGCATATCATACCTCTCATTATTATTATTATTATTATAGCTTTTTTTATCCACTTCCGTGGTCCCCAAGGGTAAAAGCCTCCTCCATCTTTTTCCACTTCTCCTTATCTATAGCAATACCCGTCCAGTTCTTTCCTGCTATCTTTATTATGTCATCTTCCCATCTCTTTCTTTGTCTTCCAACATTTCTTTTTCCTGCTGGACCTCGCCATTTTGTTGTTTGGAGAGTCCACCTTTTATCTTTGTACCTCACTATATGACCTGCCCATCTCCACTTCTGTTTCATACTATGCTGAAGAGCATCTTTTATTTTGGTTTTCTTCCTAATATCAGTGTTTCTTATTTTCTGTATTTTTCTTAACTTTAAGATACTTCTTTCCATCGCATGCTGACATGATAGGATTTTGTTCTTTATTGTTTCTGTATAGGTCCATGTTTGGCATGCATATGTTAGGCTTGGAAGGATGCAGGAATCCATAATTATCTTTTTTAAGTTGAGACTGTAGTTCCCTTTAAGGATTTCTTTTTGAGCCCAATATTTCTTCCATGTTATGTTTATTCTTCTATCAACTTCATTTTCTCCACTGTTCGTTTCGAAAGAGACCATTTTACCTAGGTACACATAACTATCCACATAATCTATAGGGTTCTCTTCTATTGTGATATTTTTTTTGCTGTGGTTTGTCATGATCTTTGTTTTGGTTGCATTCATATTTAGCCCAATTTTCTTACTTTCCAAATCTAGTTCTTGTAGCATTTTTTCTAGGTTGCTAACCGATTCGCTAAAAAGTACTATATCATCTGCGAAACATAAGTGTGTTAGTCTTTTGTTCAGTATCCATATACCCTCATGGCTCCAGTCGATACTTTTAAAGATGTTGTTAAGTACTGCTATGAAAAGTTTTGGAGAAAGTGGATCTCCCTGTCTTACGCCTCTTCCAATTGTGAACTTTTCACCCTGCCTCTCCAGTTTGACTCTGCTTATACTATTAGAGTAAATATTTTTTATAATATTTATGTAGGTGCTGTTTATGTTATTGTCAGCCAAAGCATGCCATATGGATGAATGTGTAATGCTATCGAAGGCCTTGGAGTAGTCCACAAATGCTATGTAAAGTGATTTATTAAATTCTTTGTACTTTTCTATTATCTGTTCTATTGTGTGGATGTGATCGATTGTAGAGTAATGTGGTCTGAATCCAGCCTGCTCTATTGGTTGATATTTGTCAATTTCTGTTGCTATTCTGCTCAAAATAATGGATGAAAAGAGTTTGTAAACTGTGGATAGTAAGCTGATAGGTCTGTAGTTGCCAATATCAAGCGGGTTGCCTTTCTTGTACAGCAGTATAATGTCAGATTCACACCATTGCTTTGGTACCACTCATATGTAACCACAATAACGTAATTTCACTGCCATATTCTATAGGCCACTTTTCAACCTGAAATACAGCATAACTACCTGTAAAACACGAATAGAATTAAATAACTTTTGTACTTTTGGTTATATTTGTAACAATCGCATTAATATCAGTAGATTCTAATTATGAGAGATAGTTTGTGAAAAAATCTATTTCATTTCATAGGTCATAGGATTTTGAAAAGTGACTTGAAAATATTGTATGCCCTGTTTCTTTTTCGTTATCAGTGTAATTTAGAAACAATGATACTGTTATACGCTTTGATACGTTGTAAATTGGAAACGTACACTAAGCAGTCAAAAAACGTACATTAAATTGAGCATACAAATAAAAATAAAATATAACATAGGTCGGCTGGATAAGTAAACGACAATAATCAGTATTATGCATCGGACGGTTAAGGGAACAAAAAAAAGAAGGAGAAATCATAATAATATCCTATTGGTTTCCTTTTAATATTACGCTGGCTAGGTGGTTTGGTATATACCATATCGCTAGGTCAGTAACTAATATTCTCTCCTAAAAGGGAAAGAATGATTATGGATTGTACCACATGTGATGGTGGTCATTCATGATGGTCATTCTCAGAAATAAGACAAATCTCGGTTAGATTTGTCTGATTTCTGTACAGGTACTATACATTAAAATCTATCAAATACTTTAGCTGATATGTCGTATCAATGACCCTGATATGACATGTACAATATATATACTAGTACATATATGTATAAACCTACATCCAAAAAACATCACCTTTCTTAGGCAAACTGACAGTAAACAAGCATTTCAATGATCAATGTAATTAAGTCTTATGATTTCATTCTATTAAATGTTTGTTACGAGTATATATGAAAATAGTCAATTCTTGTAAATCCTGAAATATCGTCATCGACCTTAACATTGACCAAACTACCCGCTACGTCATCATGAGAGCGACCATGGCCACCAATACATGGCCAAGTTCACCCACACACTAACCATTGACAGCATGCACATACACGCCTCAGTGCACGGCCATACGATGCAACGATTGCACGCTCTAAAAGATTTATAGATAAATGCAGTTCCCGGTGAAAATAGATAAATGCCAGTGCTCAAGTATTTTCTGCACATTTCAATAGACGCAACCGTTTGAAGTGGACATTGGTCCAGTGTTGGGACTGGACTGACGCGGTTTCTAATCAAAATGCAGTGCCGCGGAAGTTTTGTCCTGGTGTGCTTGAGTGTGCTTGCTGTGGCTTCGGCTGGAACTTTTGGAGATGGACTAAAACTTTTAGGGAAGGTGTACAAGAACTGCGAACACTCCCAGGAAATTATAAAGTGCTTTAAGATCCATGCCGCAAAATTTGCTGACCGTGCAGCCCGAATGGAAACGTTACCGATTCTGGATGGTGTGGCCTTAGTGAAGAGATCGGATTTAGGGAGAGCGTTCCCCTCATCGTTGCCTGAAGGCGATCTGAATTCATTACCTTCTGATCAAGTTGACAAATATCTCAATTTAGCTACTACAAAGTTGCTGCAAACTCATCGGGTTGTGATATCACCAAGTGCTGTAGGTGACGATGTCGGAAGATCGTTAAATGAAGCTAGAGGAAAATTGAAGAAGATGATTGGACCGATCATTGCAGGTGTTGCTATTAAAGGTGGGTTTTTAGCAATAGCGTTCCAGGCGATTGCTCTTATTGCTGGAAAAGCACTTCTTATTGGCAAGATAGCGTTGTTACTTTCGGCGATTATTGGACTGAAGAAGTTGGTATCTGGCGGAGAATCCCACGAGAAGACCACCTATGAGATCGTGAAACATCCTCAAGTTTCACAGAGTCATACTTATTCGTCATCCCATTACGGAAGCGACTTCGATACGACTGGCCCAGGTGGTCACTATAGGAGAAGTGTTGAAGATGAGGCTGCAGCCCAGGATAGAGCTTACCGAGCTTATGCCAAACAGCAATAGATGTAAGATGCATTAAGAATGAGACTTACGACTCTTAACAAAAACAACGACGATCAGATGGGCATTATAATACGTAGCTCGAACGGATGTATTTTGGCCCTTTTGCTAATTAATGCAAATAGGAAACAAAGATTATTTATATTAGATATTGTAATGCTTGGAATCGATTTAGAAGAAACATATAAATGCTAATAACAATATTATATAGTAGAATAATATATGTCGCTGTATACAAATACATAATCGTATTTATAAAGATATATTAATGCAATTATAAATTTAATTTATTTATTAGTATTGTAAATAAGAATGATAATATATCTTTGGGTATAGCATTAATATTAATGGAGATAGTATTATAAATATTGTATAATCGCTTGCACCAAATAATTATTGGGAAATGAATGATGATAGATGACATAATGATATATAATAGCTTATGTAATAAATATTTTCTAAGTTCTAGGCTAGTCGACGGGTATTGTGCATTTCTTTCTTAAAGCGTTCAATTGTCCAATTTTGTATAAAATAATGTTAAGACTAGTTATGTGAAGAAAATATGATATTTATTTTATTTATAAGGGTGCTTTTTTAGATTAAGTAGTTGAATGTTTGTTTCCCTTTTTTTACCTTTTATCTTTTATAAATTATCAGTAATAAGGTGGTTACGCGAGTACCTTTAATATAAATATTTATTTACAAAAATATTATGTAACTAAGTATGTCACTATTATTGTGTAACAATAATCATAGCTCAATTATAATAATAAATGATGATGAAATATATTCTAATTATGAACTAAAATGGAATATATTTAGAGATCATAAAGATATATACTGATCAGTTTGTTTTATTTGGGGACCACATAGATGTGACAATTACGGCCATGGTTGAAGGAAATAAAAATATTTGTGAAGTATCGATGTTGTTTTTGTTGTACCCAATCCATTTAATTTTATAAGTCGATTATAATAGGTTGTCTTATGGTAGTCTTAGGTATGTAAAATATATTTTTTTTTTACTTTTCGTCCAGTGTCAACCAAAATACTGTTGATAAAATTATCTATTTTTAAATTTAGAATTCTAAATTCTAATGCTGAATGCATTAGAATCAAACGACATATTATTCAGCATATTATCTGTTAAAATTAAGCTAACTGATTGAAATATAAATACACGAATATAACTACAAAAGTCTATAAAAATGATAATTCGAAATTATTCAAAAATATTAAAGAACAATTAAAAAGGAATTTTGGTAATTTCCGTGAAAACAATAATTAGCGAATTTCCATTTATTTCAGATAATCATGGCGTAGTGGTTTATTATTCCAAACAGATCACAAAAGTTTTAAGTTCAAATCTGCGTAATATCAAAAATTTATGTGACTTTGTGTTGTATAATCTTGACTAACTCTCTGACGACGAAAAACATTGATAAAAAATTAATTTCGCAAAAAGAACTCAGCTTACAACATCATCAAAAATGAAACAATAGTACCAAAATAACGTACGAGATTCCTGAATAATTTCAGTATCGTAATCTTATTTTTGATAAAATGAGTTAAAAACCTTTCTTCTAAACTTGTTCTTAATTATACCGTTTATTTTTATCGCTGACAAACTTTTTTATAAGCCAAACAAGCAAACCATTTGGTATACATATTTTTTTAATATATAAAATAGTTGCGTGAAGTAGAAACGCTTATACGCGAGTGCTTGGACTAATTTGAAGAGAAAATTGGAGCATGTCTCATACCATCACGCCTCAATGAATGCGTCACTGAACATTGCAGTTAATTCCATACAATTAATTTACTGATTTTATACGCCAGTTATAATTTGTATAAAATAATTGATATAATTTAAAACTATAATTACAAAAATAAATAATATAAATAACAGAATAATTAATAAAATCATAAAAAAGGCAAAAAAGAGAAAATTGTCGAATAAAAAAAATTATAGGAAGATATAAAATATAATGAATGAATAGAACGTAAAATAGAAAGTCGTTGACAAGTAAATATGTGCAAAATATATATTATAAAAAAAAATTATTCACTACCTTTTTTTTTTTGTATTATTGCAAGATGCAATCTAAAGAAAAATGTATAATGTAGCGGAGGTGAGAGATAGAGAGAGAGAAATAGAAAACTTTCTCTGTATTAATAATAAATAGAAGGTATACCAATAATAAAACCTTATAAACTATATGATTGATAGATCGTTGTAAGCCTAACGAGTAATATATATTTGTAATTAGCAGAAAAAAAGATAATTCCTGTGATTTCCGACACGCTTATTCAACTTCGTATTGATACGAAGTGATTAGCCGTCATGCGATTTTCTATCCACAATTGCACTGAACTCGTTGATGAATTTTCTTGTATAGGAAATGGTTTTTTTAACCGACTTCAAAATGATGAGGTTAACAATTCATTCGTATGCTTTTTGTGTGTACGTTACTTAATTTACTAATTGTGAGTGGATTCTAATGATTGTTTTTATTATAAGCTCTCTAGTTTTTTTGTTTATATAATTTCATTATTAAATGAATGTAATTTGCACTAATGTTACTGGTTTATGCATTAGTAGAGTAGAGAGAGCATGAGACATAACAGGTGATGATGAAGTTAGGTCAGTTAGTTCATCATGACGATTTTACCAGGATTTAATCACGACAGTTTCCAAGGAGAAGCCCGTGGAACTCCACCTGACAGAGTATATTTAGTGCCTTAGTTGCCTTTTCATAATATAAATAGACACTCATTATTGTTTCCTTCAAAAGATTACAATAGTGTTTAGCAAAAACAAAAAAAGAATACATCAAAATATCATTCTGAAGTTACTTTTTTTATACACCTTAATAGCAAACAAGCTGACGGCCCACCTGATGGAAAGTGGTAACCGTCGCCTATAGACATGAACAGTACCATGGATATAACAGAGTGTACTGTTTCGCCCATAATACTCCCCATGCGTTGCCATTCCTGACGACTTAGGTTTTATTCCTCTGTATTCTGTAAGTTCACGCAATTACTTAGTTTATATGCATATTATTTAAGTAAATCTTGTAATGTCTTGACAGTAACATGGAAATATATACTTTGGAAATTTAAATTTATTTAATAAATTAATTATAGCAATTTTACATTTGCATTGTTATATATGCGCCGTGTATTTATATTATTATTTATTGTATCATATATACTATGTAGTTCCGGGATAGACTGGGCAACCTTTCTTTTCCCGTTAGTGTCATAAAAGGCGACTAAGTGTACTAATCGACGTAATGGCCGACGGATGGGTAGCAATGCCTCTCTTGAAAATCACCAAAAGCCTAACTACAGTTGCCAACCTACCTGCCAAGTATGACAACTACTGGTAAAACCCTCCTTATGGGAAAATTATATGTTGATCATAATTAATATTATTTTCTTTTATTTGTCACTTATTACTAACAAACCCCCATTACAATACCTATTCGTTAATTCCCGTATATACACCATTATACTAAAAGACACGTAAACTTATGTACACATGGTAATACTTTAAAGTTGCGTGCGAGAATTACTATAGTTAATCATTAAATACGTTATCAATACCGTTGGCAATTAACTCCAGGTGAAGATGGCAGTTAGAGCACAACAAGACCGCTAGCTAATCCAATTCAGTGTTTAATTAGGTTCAGAAAAAAGTTACGAAATAAAGCGTATCTCTCATATTTATGAATTGATTTTCCGTTAAGTTTTAAGTTGCACGCAAAATAAGTATTGAATTGCACGTGAATTATTGGTGTTTTGTATCAAAATTTTCACTATTTGTTTTATCTATTTATCATAATAGAATACTTTATTCTAGACTAAAATAAAAAATATTGTGGTAGTAATAAAAAATATTTATTTAGTTCATATGTCTATAAGAAAACTCTTAAATGAAAAGAGAGAGAGATAGAGAGAGAGAGAGAGAGAGAGAGAGAGAGATGTCTATATCCATCGTCAGTTGTACTGGGCCCATAACAGTAAATAGAGTTTCAGTATCTCTAAAACCGATAGCGCAGCTTATTTTATATTCTTACTAACATTACAAATGTGAAAGTGAATTTGTAGTTTTATTATCTCTTGATGGATTAAAAGGTTAGTAAATTGTCGTGAAATTTCGTGATAACATATACTTTTTAACCTGGTTAATGAATAAGCCCTGATCGTGTGGATAAAGTCGTATGTAAATATGATGAGTAATAATGAATTCATCCAGTAAATAATGATATATTTTATTTTTACAAATTAGTATAGTACATGTATAATATAATTCAATAATATAAATAAAATTAAAATTATATTATTGTAGTAATGGTGAATTATACTCCATCTACTGCAAAAAGAAATGCGTAACAAAATCATAAAAAAAGAAATACAGATGAATTGAAAATATTCTTTTGGAAGTTGTTAAAATTACCTATTTTGTGTTTATTTTTTTATCTTCAGTATTATAAATAGAAAAAATTATATAAAAAAGAAAGTAGTGTACTCTGTATTATGGGTACAATATAGAGTCACTTCTTGTTATTTTACTTGTTTCTTTTTTTTTCAATGCCCAATTGCCACTTCAGGGCATAATATAGAAAATGCACTTCCTATCTCTATCAGTTTTATTAGTACCGTGCCCCCATTAAAACATCCTGCTCCATGTCTTTATGATTACGCGCTCTGTTAACTTGGAAACTTCTGCCAATTCACTTGTATCGCACACAACGACTATCGGACATTTTCAAAACCATGGAAAGTATGAATGAGAATGAAAAACCTTTTATTATTTCCCGTTTGTAAAATAAAAATCTAAATAAAAGATTTGATTTTTTCCTTGTAATGGATGAATACAAAAAAATTTAGTCTATTTTAAAAAAAAATCATGTATCGAAAATTACACTACTGTTTTCTTTAAGAAATGTTGACAAGTTGTAAAATAGCCAAAAATATCTCTGAGTACCCCAATAGAAGTTAAGTTTTAGTTTAATAAAGTCTCCTACAATGTCGGTAGCGACAATCGAGTGTATATAATTTATCTCTTTCATTATATATTTTCATACGACTTCAAAATAAAAGAACATTTCAATTCAGTTGTATGTATTTTTTGTGTTTATTATCTCACAATAAAAGGTCGGCAGCACACCTGCAATGCCGCTGGTGTTGTGGGTGATCATGTGCAGCGGTAGTCACTTACCATCAGGTGAACCACATGCTCGTTTGCCCCCTGTGTAGTAAAAAAAAAGTTTTTTTTATATACAACTTAGAATGGCAAACAAGTTGACGGCCCACGTGATGGAAAATGGTAACCGTCGCCTATAGACATGAGCAATATCATGGACATAACAGAGTATACTGTTTCGCCCATGATAACCCCCATGCGTTGCCATTCCTGAGGACTCATATTTTATTCCTTTGTACCCAGTAAATTAACGCCATATCCCACCCTTCAAACCGAAACACAGCCATGCAAACACAACTGCTTCACGGTTGAAACACGAATGGGACAGAGGTACATAAGAAATCGACTTTTGTACAAAGTCTCCCTCTAACCAAATTATGAAAATTCTTTTTTTATCTGAATAGATGTACAAATCGGTTTAAGACATTCAGTTTTTAAATCAAAATAACTGATTTTGTTACAGTTCAAATCGGTTTTTTTTGTGGAACACGATTTAATTATCTTAATTCGTCTCATACATATATTAGAGCTCCTAATTTATGCATCACAGCTTACTATTACTATTTACAGTTATATCCGAACACGGGCATTCATAAAATCTGTTCATTACCTGATCTATACATACTACGTACAAAATTCTCCCATTATAATTCTATCATAAAGGTGAACATTTGTGAGGATGGGTGGATATTTGTTATTCTTTCACGCAAAAATTATTAAATGGATTTGAATGAAATTTGGTACACAAATAGGTTATATTGTAATTTACGCGTCGGAAATCGTAGTCCTTACTAATATTCTTTTTTTATACAACTTAGAATGGCAAACAAGCTGACGGTCCACCTGATGGAAAGTGGTAACCGTCGCCTATAGACATGAGCTATAACGTAGTATATAACCATGGATATAACAGAGTATACTGTTTCGCCCATGATACCCCCCATGCGTAGCCATTCCTGAGGACTTAGGTGTTATTACTCTGTACCCTGTAAATTCACGCTTAAATTACTAATATTATAAATATGAATTTTATTTAATTTATTACCAGTTAGCACGTTAATACCTAATAAATAAATCATAAGACTTAGTATATTTATAGTATTTGAGATGAAGAAGAACAGAAGACTAATTTTATTTCAGTAAATTAATATATCCTAGTCACGCAGAAGAAGTCGCGGATAAAGACAAGTATTATAAATATGATAATGACTTTATTTGTTTGTTACCTCTTAACACCTAAATGATTTAACCAATCATAACAAACTTTAACCCTATATATTGTATTTGGGATGGAAATGGGCGTAGGTTACTCTTCATCCAGGTCAATCAACATAACCCAGTGACGCGGACGAAGTCGCGGGTAAAAACTAGTTCCCATACAAAACGTACAAGCAGCCTCGCTTTCCGTGATCTTGTGATCGCCCATAGTCACTCCGTAATTTATAATGAGCCACCACTGTTCTCAATGTGGACTTTCATCTTTTTTTCGTGAAATACCAACAATTATTAACATTCTATTGCGTGCTGACGCATCACGCTCTGGTCCGCTATATGCTTAGTTATCTTGAAATATACCAAGAAAACTATTTTCTAATATTACTACTTTATTTATTTAATTAATAAAATAAAAATTAAAAATAACCTAAATATCCAGATATTGAGTCGAGTCAAAAAATACCTAAAAAAGACGGCCAATCAACTATTGGCATTTTTTCATAATGAGCATTTAAATGTTCAATCTCTTATAATAAACGAAAGTTTAAAAGAATAAGAATATTGATAGTGTAAATAAATAAAATTTTGGTTTGTGAGGTAAGAATCTATGGGAGAAAGATTATTTTAATATATTACATTTAAAGAAAATTTACTGTTTCAGTCAAAACATCTTTAGAAAGCCACTCTGTAGTTATTCGGTGTAATATCATAATATAAGGATTATAAAGATTATAATACAAAACAACCGGCGTTGGTTTTACCTTTAATGTTATGTATATAATAGTCAATACATAATAATAATTTTGCGAGACACAATTCCACAATCATCATTTATTAAAGAAAACTTACTGTACATTGACATGAGTAAAAAACTGACACAATATTATATTTTTTGATTGATTTATTATTTTTACAATAATATGAATCATCTAACGATATTCCAATATCTATGTACAAGATAACCAATATATGTATATATATTGCATAAATTAGATTGATGAAATATATAATGATTCGAAAGAAAAGAAAGAGTTGACTAGAAGGATAGATTTTTAAACTAAGGTATTATTAAATAAAATTAGTTATGAGAGCTATTAATGAATAAAATTTGAAGTGTAGCTTTAAATGAATTCAAATATTGAAAAACAAGCATCTACAGAGATAATAGTAAATGTAGAAGAAACAGAAAACGTTATGGTTTATTACTATGATAGGATTTTTAAAATTTACCATAGCATGATCCGGCACAATATAGTACGAATTTCTCGTGCGGTATTTTTTCAATTTTCTACATCAACATTGCGGTGGTATACGGTATGCATACAATTGCATAAATTTTGCTCTTTTATATATTAAATATCATAGTTGTAAAATTGTATGATATCCATTCAATGCTGTGGTAAATTTTTTAAATTACCAATTTACCTCTGTAAAGATTCCAATAAAAACTTATATTATCATAAATTGTAATGCTAAATATTGCATTTAGCACTATCCAGCATTAATTGGTGTCCATGCGAAATTTCTAGCATTTCTCTCCTTATTTTCATCTCTAGGTTCATCTATTATGTCTTTTTTAGTTATGAACAACCTTTCTAGTCTATCTCTCAACTCATCTGGAGTTATGGGCGTAGCTGTGCTTTGCTCTGCTGATTTTTCCCTATAATAGTACTCCGCATGATGGGGTCTTCTATTATAGTATCCTGAAATCAAAAATGTCTATACGGAGGCGATTGCAGGACGGTAAACTTTTATTAGAACTATTTTAATAAACTTCATATATTAAGCTGATGGCAAATAAATGAATGATTATGATACAAAGTATTAGACACCAAAACAATAACATTTAATTACTGAAGAAGAAATATCTGAATATCTTTGATAAGTCGGTATGTTTTTAATTATTTTTATTTTCGAATTGTTATATATTTCGTAATTTTAGTTAATTATCATACTAACTTATTATTTTTTCTAGAGACATTTTCAACTTTATCTGTTGATCCAATTAAATTAGGTTTCTTTAATGTGCATCGGCAGTTAGCTAGTGAACCTGAGACGCCAAATTTGTAAACTTCAGAACATAATATCACTTACAACCAAATTTATTTATATGTATTATTTATTCAATATACTTTTTCGATATACAGTACAATTATTTCTCGTACCCAAAAACCTCGCAGGCTTTATATAGGTATCATCGAATCGCTAGTATTACCAATAGTTACTATATTGATAAGCACAAAGTATGTCGTGCTAATTTAATTCTAATACAATATTATTACTAAAGTATTTTTTTTTTAAACCTGGATAAAGTTTCCTAAACCTAAGTTAAAATTTAATTCAATTAAAGCAATTTCACCGAATTGTCAGGCCATGCATCAAAAAGTTACAATCATATCTATGCGGTGATTTAAAAAATCTGTTGAAGTAAGCATATTTTAAAATCTGTTTATCACATTAAAAGCGAAACTAGAAAAAGGCGCATGTCTATGTAAACATCACATACAAAGTGGGACGGTTTGATATAATTTAATTTGGTTTGGTGTCATAATAATGCAGTTTCTAGTTCAACACATTTGGTGCATTTTTATTGAGGTTAAATGTCTTATCCCTATGAGAAAATAAATGATATTACAAATACAGTTTGAATAATTAACTTGCAAATATAGAACTTAATGAATAAAATTAATTTGTGTTTAATACTGACCTCCTGAATGATGCTCATGACTATGGACTGGATTATCAAACGAAGTATATGACGATAATGTCGGACTCGTGAATCCTCCATACGTTCCTCCATAAGAACTACCATAATTTGAACCTCCACCACTGAATACAGTTACTGCTAGTAAAGCCAATTTTGACAGTAAGAATGCCTTTTTACTTGCAATCAATACCAATCCTAATATTAGTGGTAATAATGTCGATAATTGAAATTTAAAGCCCAGTAGAAATGGAACCAATAGATTTCTTGCCAATAAACGTCCTGAAAAAAGGAAAAAATAATATCACTTACTAATTTTTATATATATTTAATTTGTGATTTGTAAGTGTAATAAAGAATATGATATAATTATACTTTACAGTATAAATTTTTATAGCAACCAGTCTATAGCAAAAATCGATATAACTTCAATGCTAGTCCGCAAGATGTCTCTATCGAATCTCAAGTTCAATGTCAATGGAAACTTACGTATTACAAAACATCTACGTGCTAGTCTTTATGTAAAATCATAGATGGCAGGAATTATTGTACTTTATTTTTTTTTATAAGCTAATTTAGATCACATCAAAATCTATTGTATATTGATACATGAATCTATTAGTTTAAAAAATACGATAATACTTTAATTAATTTAATTTAATTTATATTTTATTCCAGTTTTACTAAGTTGATATTATTATAAGCTAAATGTAATGAAGAAGATACAAAACTTATTAGTAAATAGCTGTATTTCGAAGCTTTATCCGTGTAAATCAATATAAAAAGTACCAAATTAAATTTGTAGTTTTATCGTGAAGTAGGATCTTGAAAAAAGAAATAAAGAGGTTTTTTCCGGGTTGGTTAGGCTCTCATATTGCAGCCGTTCACGTGTTACAGTAACTGCTTACCATCAGGTGGGCCGTATGCTCATTTGCCACCTTATTCATATAAAAAAAAAAACAAACATTTTCACAATTTTCCGCGATTGTAATAATAGTGGACTAAGCCAGTACAGCATATTTAGTAATTATTTTAGTGAACACTTACCAGTAGATACTTCATGCGGATGTTGATGGTAAGCTCGATCTTTCACTCTCGGATCCATAACAAATTCCAATACCCCATTGGCTAGAGTCGGTCCAATCCTCATTACCAACCCTGGGTACAATGTACTTAGATCCCAGTGCAATGACCTTTTAGAGATCAGATTACTGGCATCTTCCATCATGGAGCTAGAAGCATTTACATTTAAGTAGAAATGTGTATAAAGTAAGTGAATTACTCTACGTTAGTGACTGAATTGATGAATTATTATACAATTTAGTGTTTTAATTATGATATAAATTCTGATGGAATTAAATAACTGTGATCTTCTTAGTCACTTCAGTCATGTACTATGTCCTAAAATAAATGGATAATTATAAATTCTTTTGTTATGACATCAGGTAGGAATGTATTCCCCAAAATATTGCAACATTAGTTGTTAATATAAAATCAATACAGGCGTAAATTCAATCGATTGGTAATAGAATTATTAATGAAACTGGTTTTTCAAATTAACGAAGATTACATAACATATACACTAAAAAAATTATGAATTGAGAATTGAGAATGTTGATCAAAGAGTAAATATACCGAAAATCCATTGGATCCTTATCAAGGAAACTTGCAATATCCCTTGGGGTTTTTTCATCTCTTACAAACGATACTCCAGTTGCTAAACTAAATGAATCTGCTTCGTTAAACTTGTTGAGGTTATTTAATATTTCTTTCCCGAAACAAACACCCAACTCTGCACTTCTTTGAACACTTATACATTCGTTTAATTGTGAATCATCCACAACATTATCTTTGTAGTTGTCACCCTCTTTTAATTCTAATTGTATTGGTATTACTTGTATAATTTTTAATGAAATAAAAAGAAAAGCTAATATTACAGATAATGACGACATTTTGAAAGCAAAAGATAAATCACAATTAGGAAAAAAAAGCTATTGAATTCCAAATCAACTACATTTCCGAAGGATTTCGCGTTTTTGCAAACACCACCGTTGGTGATGCTTCTGATATAACGTATAACAAAACTGTATCAAGTCTCCGAGTGTTTTATAGACTTTCCTTGTTATGTCTCGGTGAACTTTGCCATTGTTTTGGTGAAGAATCCAAGACACCGTCACGGGTTGGTTCCCACGTCTGACTCGACAATAGGGTGAAAATTCTTAATGGATAATTTGCAAATCTGTGAGAGTGATCTGTGATTCATATGTCCGTATTACGGCACATTGCATAATAATAGTTGTTTTGGTTACGTGGCTATTGGGTTATGTGAGGTAAAGTTTTGTGCTGTCTAGTACGGTGAAAAGTTATTGTTCTATTGAATTTTGAATGGATTGGTACGATATTATATGACAAACAAATAGTGCTATCACCAAATAGCAACTTTATATTGTATCCATTTGACAAGTGTGTTAACAAACTAAAGTAGGTCAGATGATCTGGTTTATTTTTGTATTCCGAAATCTGTGAACCAGTTGTATTATGACTTTTAATTGAGGTTGTATAGTTTAGTGACAGTACTGTCAATAGTGCGAAAGGTATTTTTTAAAGTTTATAACCTTATTATGATCAAAGAAAATAATAATAAGAAGTAAATCAAAACAAAACAATGTATAAAAATAAAAGTTTTGCAGAGAAAATAAAAACGAAGGCCTAAATAAAGAAAAAAAATCAACGAGTATTATGCGGATGAAGGTGCAATAAATGATCAGTATAAAATAGAAAATGAATAAAAAACATACAAAGTACAGTTAAAAATATAAATATCACTACAGACAAATTTATAAATAACAACGTTGCCATAGTTTTAGACATTGATTAGGATAAAGTTTCTATTTTAAGAAACAATAATTGTGTATCTATTAAAAGAAAACGAAAATAGAAATAGTTTTTGGTAATGGTGATATAATCTTCTAATCTAAAACAAAATGTATATCTCAACAAAAAATCTAAGCAATAACAATCAACAGGCTTGTTATTTTTATGTTTCAAAGTAGCCGAAGATAATGACCATGATTCATTTCTGTAACGAGATATGGATTATTATTGTCCAATTTATGATATAGAAATCGGAGAAGAAACCATTTATTTCGATTGTTACACTAATCACGGATTTTATTATTGTAAAAATATAATTAACAATTTCATTTATAAAAGCATTTGTGCATGACTTGCGAATAGTTAAACTGATTTGGCTAATTTAGTGATGTATTGAAATTTAAAAAAAAAAACTGTACATTAAAAAGGTTTGTATAAAGTAATTTAATATTTATAAAAACAAACAGCTATTCATATTGTAAAAAATTAATATGGTACTATAAACACTAAATAAATAATTATAAAATAATTAAATACTAAATTATATCGATTAATAATATCAACAAATACAGAAATGTGTATTTGTTGATAATATGATGTTAACTGAAAAATTTCTTTTTATTATTATATCAGCCGTGGATATTTCAAATGCTAAACACAGGCCTTCCCCATAAAGAGATTTCGCCAGTAGTTGCCACGCTTGGCGGGCGGGTTAGCTACCGCTTTTAGGTTTTAGTGATGTTTTATGAGGAACACTGCTGTCCATCCTTCTACCATTAGGAAAGGAAAGGATAACCTATTCTATGCCGGGATCACATGGCGAGAAAGAATGCTAGGCATTCAATCTGCCTTTTGTACCAAACATTTTGTTTAATATAGTCAGTAAAGAATTAACTAATTAAAAATAAAATGTAATAAATAAGTAACAAAAATATGCGAGTTATAGCCAATGCAGTGTATGCTAACTCAAAATTGTTTACAATTGGTGAAGATATTGGACGGAGCAAACATAAAAAAAAACACATTTAAATAGAATAAGTTTTCATTTTTGAAGTCGCATTTTATTATTATAAAATAAAACAAGATAATATAGATAAATTCACTTTTGCTTATATTATTTCAAATAATTGTTATTACTACTGTATTTCTAAGTCTAATTAAGAATATATATTAAAAATAGGATTTATCATTAGAGAAATTAGAATTAGTATTTTATTTTTTATTTTTGTGTTAAGCATTTGACATATATTGTGCCCAAGGCTAAACTGACTACCTCTTCCAGAGCCTCTGACCTCTTCATTGTCTTACAACCTGCTATATCGTTCTCCTTAAATTTTGTCATGTTTAGATTTTCATCCAAGCTAAATTCTCTCTTATCATTTACGTGTTGCAGTCCATTTTAGAATGTTTCTAGATTACGAGTTGCGTCGTTTTCGTTCTCGATGCGTTGACGGAGTGAAAGTATATTTTTTTTTAATACGTCCGGCTGTCTTTAGTAAAAGTTGTGAGTGACGTAACAGTTTCTCGACTTTACAATGACATTGGTACCACTGTTTTCTCGTTTTGCCTCATCTGTTGTAACGATTAGCGTTTTTTAGAACACTTTAAGGCGTTTAGATTTGTATTTTTTAATCCAATACAATAAACTATTGTACTGGATGGTTTATAGAAAATTTCATGATATATATATATATATATATATATATATATATATATATATATATATATATATATATATATATATATATATATATATATATATATATATATATATATATATATGTATTATACTCATAATTTAATTGTTGTTAATTAAAGTGTATTAATACATATATTGCTGCTTATTACTTACTTTATCTTATATTAGTAACTTGTATGTTCTTATTATTTTTAAAATATATGTTCATTTTTTATCCGATATCTATATACATATGTGAGCTCATTAATTTCCCGTTATATATGTACATATATAGACATTGAAAGTTCTTATTATGAAGTAGATAATATCAAAATATATGTTAAATTAATAAGTTTATTATGATGCAATTCAGATTATGCTGTACGTACATAGTACATAATTATGATACGTTATAGATTATTATATATTATATCATATAAGCCATTAACTGCCCACTACTGAACATACGCCTTCCTTAAAAGAGGTGTTTTGCTAGTAGTTGCCATGCTTGGCGACGACGACACCCACGTGAAAGCAAGGTGCAGCCCATTTTAAACACATTATGATATATATTATTTATTTACTGAAACCTGTTTCTTATTTCTTAAAGCATACCACTTTTTATTAATTGTATAGAAAGAAAGCGAAAAATATACGATAAGACTTAAACAATAAACATTTGATTAAATTAAATCAGTATAAATAGTATAAAAAATACGTAAATTCATTTTTATATTTATTGTTTTAAATATATTAATTAGTAGTTTATCAGTTTTTAGAGTTCTTATTATTATGACAGCAAAATATCATTATTATCGTTCCTAATTCCTTTTCACTTTTTATCTGACATTTTTTTTAAATAAAATATATATATATATATATATATATATATATATATATATATATATATATATATATATATATATATATATATATATATATATATATATATATATATATATATATATATATGTTCTATATTATATGATAATCGTGTTAGAATTAGAACTTTGTGGACCCTTTTATTTAGTATTTTATTATCTATTCACCATTTAAATTTTATTATTTTTAAATATTTTAAGCGATTTCAAGAACGAGATTTTAATCTCTTGTATATATACAATACAATACAATATTTGCGATATCTTTATTAATTTTGTATCGATTAAGAAAAATATATTATATTCTATTTGGTTTACCTGAATATTGATCGTATGTTAGTTTAGGTCGATTTGAAATTTTTTTAAATTATTAAATTATTGCTTTCATGGATTCTTTCCCGCCCTTTCTACGGGTATAACGTCTGAACTTGTTTCTCTGTGCCCTACCTGCTGCAAATTACTCATCGACAGACTGCTTTCGCCTTTGTCGCCCGAGGCCCATCGGCTTTCTGTACCTCACACGTTTTATGTAACCTCCCCCTCTTCAGTCACACATACCCGCCAACTTAGTTTTGCTTTTCGAAATGTGTACTTTCTATTTTATACTCAAAGCACCGTCAGTTAAGATACTAATTCTATTGAAATCAATACTGAATGTTCATGTAACGTTTGTCAATGAATATGCCATCTTTAGATCATCTTCGCATTACAAATATATTTCGATTTCAACCTCAGAACTATTATGTTATAAGACTTAAAATAACTTGGCAAACGATAACAAGGCTCTTGAACTTGTTCAATGGACAGTATTAATACCGAAATACCTGTACATTCGAATTATGCTATATGCATCTTGCTACAATGGAATATGGTCGAAATTGGCTTGTAGACAAGTTTTAGGTCAGCAGCAATACTTGTTTAGACTTTAAAGGAAAACCGTCTGATGCAAACCGGACACAGGAACGCGTGAGAAGAAAACTTTCTTTCGTTTATACTAAAAAGAAATAAAGGACGTGGCTCTATAACACAATTCTTTGTGATGATGTAAGAAGTTGGTAAGGTATTTGACGGTGAATCATTTTGTGGCTATATCAGTATTGTATAGTTTTTATATACAATACAATAATAGCTTAATAGTAGTGTGGGTTTTTTATGCAATTTAAAATGGCATAAAAGCTGACGTCCTATCTGATGGAAAGTGGTAACTGTCGCCTACATGCAAAAACAACACCATAGACATTATAGAGCACTTTCTGAGAGAAACTTAATTATATCCTTCATATGTCGTCATTCTTAAGGAGCAAAGTTTAATGCCTCAAGATCTTGCAAGTATGTTATTCTAGAAATTTAAATATTTATATCTACAAGATTTTATCTCGATCAATTATTATTCACCTTTAAAAAACTATACAAGAATTATCTATGTACTATTTAACCTATAAATCTTACGGCAAAGTAGTTGTATATATATGTTTAATGTTTATATTTATTAATGTTATTTTATTCTATTTTGTTCTTTTTAGTATATGTAATTGGTTTGTATTTATTAGTTGTAATTTTGTTTTAATTATTATCATGAATATTATAAATAGTGCCCTCTCTCTCCCCCCTTTTATATATATATTTT